AGGGCGCTCCGAGATTTCGTAGGGGATTACTTGGGCGCTTCCCGGAAGGTCCTATATTATAGGAGGTGATCATTTAACACTAACTTTAAACCACTCAAACTCCTATACTCTAGGGAGGTCTTTGTTAGTTGTTTTCATAGCTTTCGTGGTTTTTGTTTGGAGCCATCATTTCCAAAATGTGCCCTGTTTGGAAACGCTGCTCTGACTTCCTGATTTTGACATAAATATCCCCGACCTGTTAGCGATGATGCATCTAATTCTAACCCTTACCCACCAGTATACGTGCATGGATACGGTCGGTCCATTTCGGGGCCCTCCCCCGCCGCCACCCAAAGATGGTTCTTTTTAGGTACCGTCCGAAAATATCCTTAATTGGCATCCTACTGACTAAGTTCTGGCCAAGAGAAACATCGGTAAAAGCCGTATTTTACATGTCACTGAGTGAATTACACAAGACAGTGAAGTTCTTAAAAAAAAAAAAAGCATTGCAGACATAGACAATCTATTTCGAGCAAACGAAAGAAGAAAAAGGAGGAGGAGGAAAAGAAGAAGAAGAAAAAGAAAAAGAAGAAGAAGAATAAAAAGCAGAAGAAACCAACCCTGACCCTAATCCCCCTTCTCTATAATTTAGGATTGTCCCGAGAAATCCCAACGAATTCCCATCCAAATCTCGCATCCCCGAGATGGAGTAAAAAATCGAGGGGGGGGGGGGGGGGTGGTAATTTTTTTAAATGTCTTAGCGGGGATTCTGGGACTTTCCCCTGTTGCAGTGGTAACTGTAATGAGCATTTTTTTAAAAACTTTGTGGAGATGACTCTCCCTCCAAGCTCAAATCCGCAGTGATGCGAATTTTAAAAATAAACCCGTGCAGTTTCCTGAAAACAAGGCAGAGGCCGACCATCGCAAATTTGGATATTGGACATTGAAAATGCATTAGCTGTGAAAGTTACAGGGCTAGAGAACTGACGAGAGAAAGAGAGAGAGAGAGAGAGAGAGAGAGAGAGACTTTCAAGTGTACCGTAAGAGAGAGATGTGCTGTGAAGGACCTGCTGGCAGATTGTTTGACTGATTGTCGAAGTATTTCACTTTAAGAGAAAAGATCATCTTTACGAGCCAATGTCGTTCAATTTTCAGATGGCGTAGTGTATCAACATTTTTCCTCTTCTTGGTCTATAATACTCTTAGAATCTTCCTGTAACATGTAATATGAAACCTGCAGATGCACAAATCACACAAAATCTATAGATATAAATAAAATAATACATGTAAATCTTATGCAGACGTTAGTGTGAGCAATGGGATCGTGCCGACTGGAGATGGGGAATGAAAATGAACAGTAAATATAATTGGGGTTTGTACGTGTGTGTAGGTGCGCAGGCGCTAGCGTCTGTGAAAATAACAAAATGTGAACCATATCACGCATTTCGTAATGAAACGTTATCTCACATATCAAATTAACAATAGGCATGCACTTGAATAATTTCATCTTCCTTCTCAACAGGATGAAAAAAACCAAGTGCTGATCACGAATGTGTGGCTAGATCACGTGAGTAGACGTAGATTAAGATGTCGGAAATGTTGAAGTTTGAGACGTCATAGTAGATAGCTTTGAAGTTATTTACAACAACGCAGATCTATTTTAAAATTATGTAACATAAATTTGCTATCTGTATGTGAGTATTATTGCTTTCGTGGGTGTGACATTATGTGAATGTATGGATGTGTATGTGCGTGCATGTTTGAATGAGCGACCACAAGTTCACACAGACACGCCATTATATGTCTTCTTCTTCTTTTCTTTACTCCTAGAATGAATCGCGGCGTCAGGGCAGGGCGAAATCTCTAGAACGGGCCGTGTTGTTCGCTTTAAAAAAAATACTTTTCAGTGCCTTTGATATCTCCGCGGTGCATTTTCTGTGTTGTCGACCTCTGACTCTGCTATATTTGTATAAAAGTGCCCTATGTTGTGTCCTGCTCGGTGCCAATCCTGTTATAAGGCCAAATCATTTGCTTTGTTGTCTACCTATAAAGTTTACAATTGGTTGTGTGCCGATCTTTCCTTGTTAGACCTAGCACAGTATATAAACATTTCATTTCTGACGTGATTATTGTCCTTCTGCCTTTTGAAGGCAGTGTCCATGAACACACTCACACACACCCACCGCACACTCACACACACACACACACATATATATATATATATAATCAGGTCTTTTTGAGACTCGATTTCCTCCATAAGCACAGTTAACTATCTTCAACAACATGTATCAGTTCGTGTGCGGCCACCTTTGATGTAATGATAAAATGGTATGAGGAACCACTTTTCATTGTCTTCTCACGTGGATATCTTTTCCTTATCTCTCCAGGCGAGGACACATTTGTCAGTTTTTCACTTCTAATTAATTTGTCGAATTTAATTATTATCTACATGCGATCTTTTTGCTGGGTTGTATTTATGTCTTAAGCTCTTACAAACCCCATTTACAAACTCAATTTGACCGTCCAAATAAATTTAAGAACACCTCTGTAAAGATCTCATTTGCCTCACATTGTTTTGTGTGTGTCCGTTTACTAGGTGTCCATGATAGACAGATATTGACACTGTCAGCGCCTGTGGCTTCCGGTGTTATGAGCGCAGTTTTATAATTCTTTTCCTTGGTTTTCAATCTTCTTTATCTTCTGCGTTTAACCGAAGAAGTAAGCGCATTGTATCGGTTTACAAGATAATTGCGATATTTGTGTCTTTCAACCGACACATCCGACTTCTGTTGCGTTTCTTGCCCAGGTTAGCCTTACCGGTGTGTCATTATTCCGAGTCTCCAGTTTCAAAATCAGCTGATAGCAATTTTATAGCAGAGCGCTTTACGTTAATTTTGACTACAGCATGTTAAGCGACGACCGTTCATTAGCTATGACAAACTACTGAACAAGGTATTGCCCTGTCAAATCACAAGCCGCCAACAAACACTGGCGCAGGTTTACGACATTCTGTAGAACCATGTTCTTCAAACTGTAGCTTGCGAGTTGCTGCAGGTAAATTACTGGTGCTTCGCTAAAAACGTCTGTCAAGTCACGTAGCAGCAAGATAAAAGAATACATCAAATGGATGTTAATGCAGCCCTTCATATCTTAGAAACAACGCCTCAGTCAGATCTCGCATTCGCTTAAAACTGAAATGTTTTTAACATTTTATGAAATAAATATCTACATTTGTTTTTATTTCTGTCCTAGCTCCCGACCTCTACTGCAAATACTCCTTACTATATGGCGTTTAAAAAAAATTTGAAGAACACTGCCTTAAACTTGTACGGGGAAGGAGTATCGAAACTGGCTCTATGTAACGTGCAAGAATATCTTTCTAACCTCCACTGACCGGGATATCATGTATAAGACGGTATTTGTGTTTAAAATTCATTAATGATATTGTATTAGTCGCCCCCTCGTGAGATGTAATTTTGTTGTTGTTTTGAAGCCCCATCCTGGCTTTTTCCGTGGGTCCTGAATATAGCCGGGGCATAGATATGGCCTTGCCATAGATATGGCCTAACGGCTGAAATATGTTTCTGGGACCTCTCCACGGCTCATCCGCATAGTGGCACTTTGTTTCACCGGATGTTTGTCGCTTTTGTGATGTCCTGGTTTGTACAACTACCGACCTACCTAAAATTAATTCCTATTCATACGACACCAAGGTTGGACTGCAGGCTACCTTGTAACCTTTGGATTGTCATAGTATAATTGTGATAGTCTTGCGCTGGGTTTCTTGGATTTGCTCCTGCAACATTCACATTCAGAAAAATGTTAAACCTATCGACAGCATTCGGAGGGGAAAAACTAAAACGCTTTTTTTTGTTGCGATTACGTTCTCCTATTTATTACCATGATGTCTGTCTTATTTTTGGACAGAGGTCATATTTCGATTTGTTTTACTAAAAGTCCTGTACTTATCGCCACCGCCCCCCTCCCCCTTTCTTCTTGCATCCGTTTACAAATTTATTTTTTTAACTCTAGGACAGCAGTTTGTAGGATTAACATCTCAAAGATGAGAATCAAACAGTTACAAATCCCGGAAACCACATTCAACCGTTTAGTCATTAACACAGTTATATTGAGACCCCCCCCCCCCCCCCCAAAAAAAAAAACACTGTTACAAAGTAACATGTAGTCAAGTGTGTGTGGCTCAGATATGACATTTCAACTGTTTGATCCTTCGCACAGGTTCCAGAAAATAGAACACCCACGGCCTCCCTAAGAAGCATGTCGTAAGAATCGACTAAAAGAGGTATATTTTAAAGTCGGAGTGCATCTGTCAGAGTGGCAAGGAGCCAATTTTCTGAGTACAAATCAGCCAGATCTGTGAAACGGATGTGCACAAAAAACTACAGTTCTGAAACAAGATCAAAGGTGAGAAGTGGACGAACAACCTGCACGTCGCCGTTGTTTAAAGCCATTGAGTGCAAAGTAAAAGAAATAATACAGTTCTCAATGAAACTTTAAACATCCGCGAATGTGAGATTGTGTTTATTGTAGTAATATTAAACATAGTTTACTTACATTCCTAAATTTGAATTATATTTAAACAAAATTATGTAACAACGCCATTATGTACGTATTAAACATACAGTCAAGTTTCTACGTAATCTCTCTCTCTCTCTCTCTCTCTCTCTCGCTCTCTCTGGCTCTCTCTTTCTTTCTACCCCCCCCCCCATTTTTTTTGTCAAATATATTTATATTCTTTACATAAGCACGTAATAAGGTTAGGGCACACACACATACGAGTTAACGAATGTAACATTAAACACACTAACAGCCATACTATAGGTCGTAGGACAATCGCCACCCGAATTCTTGAGATGTTACTTCTTGTCGCTGATACGGCAACAAATACATGCCAGATCTTTTAATTATTCTTAACCTTCTGTGCAGTTCTAGACGAGACACACCATTTCAAACAACAGCGAACAAACAAGAATATGACGATAATTAAAATAAAGACAAAAATGGCAAAGAAGGCCGTAACATCTAGAAGTAGAAGCTGGTACACTGGCATGTCTTGACCCGCCGCTCTTAAATGCTTAGCACCGTGTCGCATCACGTGATCTATCCAATAGGCTGCGGTCTTTCTGGGGCTTTTGTAGAGCTCTTTAAACAAAGCAGACGCATTTCTAATAGCATGTCTATACGTTTCGTTAAATGCGACCTCGCAGATGAGGGAAGACAGCTCCTCGGCTGAGATACTTCGAATATCAGCGTAGGTTCCAAAACCTTTGTCGTGAATTCTGTGTGAGTTGAGCAACTGGTCAGAGAAGATGGGCAAACAGAGCATAGGGACGCCGTGGTACAGTGCCTCATACTGTCCCCAAGCACCACAATGTGAAACAAATACCCGCACGGTGGTTCCGTTATAATGGCCCAGGAGATCATTCTGTGGAATCCAAGTTGAAGTAATTATTTTCTTCTCGTCTGGAGACGTCAAATTAATTCGCCATATGGTATTAAATGGAAGTTGTTGCAGGGCGACGACCATTTTATTTGCAATTTCCGGTGGTAAGTTTGCCACAGAGCTTCCAAACGAAACCAAAGCGATTCCATTTGGAGAATTTTTAACAACACTCTCGAACGTGGCAGGTAGCGGTTTAGCCGGAACTGCAGAAGTTCCACCTATCATGACAGTGTTGGATAGCTGTGGGTAAGCGTAACCTAGAATAACATCGTTTTCCACTAGATGCAGATCAGCTTGTATTATCAGAGTTTTTGATGACGAAGGAGGCTTACGTCCTGGTGCCAGAACTTCCGCTATTCGAGGATCCCAAATAGGATCTGTAACCAGTAAAAGTAGATATGCTAGAGTCTTCTTCAGTCGCTGTACAAATGTTGTTTCGCTCGTAAAGCTTTCCTGGAAAAACATAGAGGGAACTGCAGCAGGACTGAACGGGACACGAGCTCCAATGATATCATATGCCACTCCCATCAAAGTAAACGGGACCTGGAATTTGTAAGGTAATGCTAGAGAGTTACTGAGTAAGGGCATGGAGTCCAAAACGAAATAATCCGGCTGTATGTTTTCAAGTGCAGATATTAAAGAAGGATCAGTGAAAATGTTGTAGCTAGTGTTACGCATGTGGATCTGCATATTATATAGCATCTCAAAAAATGATGACACTGAACCATCCCAGAAGCTTGTCAGCATTCCTGTTTCCGCGAAGAATGTGGTTTCCATATCATCGTGTTCGTGTCCATAGGGCAACAGTTTAATTTTGTCTGCCTTCATTATTCCTTTGTTGTTGGAGAATGTGGGAACACAAACCCAGGTCTCGTGTCCATTGTCTGAAAGTGCCTCGGCCACTTTGATGGTAGAAATTATATGACTGGATTGGAAGAAAGGGAAAAAGACAACTTTCTTCGAAGTGCAGATGGCCATGCATTGCTGCAGAATGATGAGTACAGTTGTAATTTTCATAATATGGTATGCCTATATCTTCAATGGGTTTAATGTTAGTGCATGTGATTTGGTAGCGGATCTCTTTGCGTTGACGTCTACAATTTTGTGAACGTCGTCTCATTCAGGAATAAACAGAAAACTAGCGAACGTAAAGCTACCTAGTATAACGACAACAGCAAACATTAGCTGAAGTTCGGTTGGGAAGTGTTGAAACGAACTGGCTAATAACGTTTTTCTTGAACAATTTATTTGCATAAAATACCTGGAAAAAAAAAAAAGAAAAAAAAATATTAATCATAAATATAAATTATATCAGTGCAATGTAACAAACAAACTGACATAAAAAAAATACATAAGTGGTATGGCTTTTATCTCAAGGACTGCCGTTTGTAGGATTAACATCTCAACCATGAGAACCAAACAGTTACACATCCTGGAAACCGCACTCAACCGTTTAGTCATGTAACACAGTTATCCCGGGCACATTAAAAAAAAAAAAAAAACTGTTATAAAGAAACATGTAGTGAACACACAGGTACATGGGAAATAGACATTTATTAAAAAAAATGGAACAGACAAGCAGACTTAGAGACTTAAAGACAGCGACAGTCAGGCAGAGAAATAACATACTGACAGAGTGCGACCGACAAGCAGGCAAGCAAACGGAAAGAAAGGACATAAACAGACAGAAATAACCTATGTCGTTACTAACTCTTTCTGGTCCAAGAAAAAATGTCATCAAGAATCGAGTAGATTTTGAGTCGACCATTATATCATACGGTTCAATAGAAGTAGATAAACGAGAATGCAGGCAATCTTCGCTCAAGCAATAAAATGGATGTCCGTTTGTTGAACTGTTGTTCTCCTGGATATGCCAGTTTCTAAAACAATTTCAACAGATTTCTGATTTACATGTTCTCACGGCAATGAAGTTTGTTTGTATTACACAGTTTGTTTCCTCTGAATTTCATGTATCGCATTCAGTCATTATTTTCTTCCCCTTTCCACATGCCTTTTACAGAGAAGTAGTAGTTGTCTTCTTCATTTCTCTAGTTACCCTAGTAAAGTGTGCATGCGCGTGCGCCCTCGTATGCCTGTGTGAGAAGGGTAGGTCGGAGATGTAGAGATAATCTATATGCTCTTTTTTTGAAGTTATATTAATTAATAATCTGCATTTTTTTACGCCACTGTTTCATCATCATCATTGTCCTGTTAAGCCATAACATGTCATACAGGGCTCTCAGTCCATTCCTCCATTCCCTTCTATCATGTGCAGTCAACTCAATATCGTGGATGGAATCTAGTCCAGAACCTTTGACCTCCCTCATCAGTGTTCGTTTTAGGTTTACTCTGGGAGTCTTCGCTTCATTGTTCGCTTCATTGCCTTTATTTATAATGGTCTTTCCATTGCCGTGTGTTTTATGTTTATTCAAAGTGGCTCTCTACAGCAACTGACATCCAGTCGGATGTTGTGAGGGCTCTTTGGGAGCGGTTGAACAGTGCGGAGGCACAGATAGATCATTACAGTCTAGGAAGAATGGCTTTGCGAGGAGTTACAAGAGGGTCTGGCCTGTGCTCAACACTCAGGGGCAAGGCGATACGGATATACAGACAGTTACTGGTGCCATCGGAATTGGAACTTTTCGCTTGCTGTTGAAGATGGTGACGGAGCGCTTATGGGGTTGTCCCGACTTCAGTGATGTCAATTATTAATTAAATATTTAACAACATTATTCATAGCTGACATCCTGGTAATCTCACGAGTTTGTTAGACTGTTTTATCTCCCAATCTTTAACGAACTGTTCGGCTGGTTTCAGTCAGTCTTCTTCTAATTTCTCCACTTTTAATTTCATGTATTTGTTACACAGACATGCTCTCCGAAGACATAACATCTCCGTTATTATGTTTTCCCCACTAATTAGTTGTAGTAACGGTAACAGCTATCATGTATTGTGAAATACCCACAACTAACCCAGTAGATATCAATGGATGGTAAGAGTTGTTTTGTTTCAAACTACAATTGTGTGCTAACTTAGAAACTGTTCAGTTGTTTTACATTCCATGTACATTCGGAGGAAGAATGATTTCTTTCAAGCTTTCTTTCTGTCACGATGTAGTACAGTTATTTTGTTATCACGACATTTTAAATAAATATGGATTCTTCTACCTCTAATGCGGGTAATCAGCTCGCTTTGTGAGTTAGTTACTTGTTAAACATCTTCATACAGTCGTTTATATGTACCTGTTGTACTCAACAATGATTTAAAACCACATGTCTGCCTGTTATTATCTGTTCATAGTGTACTCATTGCTTTTTTAACACCACATGTCTGCCTGTTGTTATCTGTTCATAGTGTACTCATTGCTTTTTTAACACCACATGTCTGCCTGATATCTGTACATGATGTACTCATCGCTTATTTAAAACCACATGTCTGCCTGATATCTGTACATGATGTACTCATCGCTTATTTAAAACCACATGTCTGCCTGATATCTGTACATGATGTACTCATCGCTTATTTAAAACCACATGTTTGCCTGTTGTTATCTGTACATGGTGTATTCATTGCTTTTTTAAAACCACATGTCTGCCTGTTGTTATCTGTACATGGTGTGCTCATCAATTATCACTTATATAAGACAAATATCTGCCTGTTGGTATCTTTACATGGTGTACTCATCTGCCACCCACTTTTTGATTTCCAACTGCCAAGGGAACCACTGTAATTATTCCCTTTCATATTATGCTTCAAAACTACGTTCACATTCAAGATAAAGACGCGCCTAAAAGAATTACTTCCCATGATAAAAGGTATCATGTTCTACATTTTTCAGAATTAATAAAATGCTCTTTTAATTTTAATTTGTTCTAATTGTCTTTTTAACTGAACGTTTTATTTAGAAATACTCTCTTAATTTATGATACATTTTATTGTTCAAGAATATATGTAATAAAAAAGCTTTAAATTATACTTCTATACACATGGCTGACTGACCCAACTAGGCCATCACACTGAGCGATAAACACCCGGTGACACAAAGTGCCACCATTCGGATGAAGATCACCTGGGGACAGGTCCCAGAAACCATGTTCAATCCATAACAGTTTGGGTTAATTTAGTTTCCGGCAACAGCCAGGATGGGGCTTTAAAACAAATTGGGCCCGATATTAAGACACACACACATACACACGGCTGTTTTAAAAATACATTATAGTTAATACAGTCCTTTCTTTCGTGAACGTTATAAATTGTTTACAATAATGTAGCCAAGTCCTTCGCAAAAAGAATGCTCGACATCAGGTCCGATCGGAAAGAGTCTAAACTTTGTATCACTTCCCACACCTAAAAAAAAGTGTAAACACAAAGTGCTTAGAACCTGACATTTTATGCTGGTCGATCCTGGATTCATCTTCCAAGAAACGCGCATTCCATTACTGCTCTTTAAACTCAGTGTTCTTTAATATGACCAAGTTATTTCAATGTTTATTACGCTCTGTGTGTCTTGCTGTTCTGATATGTAAAAAATACGTACTGTTTCCTTTTTCTTCATTTACGAAATATGTAAACGCTATAACCTTTATATAAACATACTTTGGAGAAAATCAATACCCTGTACAAACACTCACAGTCAAATCTTCATGAAGCTATATTTTTTGGCGGAAGAACAAAAGACATGGTCAGATTTTTAAAACCAGTGCAAGAAATATTTAAAGCATGTTTAAGACACACACATATGTACGCATTACCTTACTTCACACAATATTAATCTAACAGCCTCCTGGCTCTAAAATGTGGACTGCTTAGCTTAGTTGGCATGATCCATTATCTAATCATTGTTTCTAGTTGTATGTAGATCCCGCCTTCTTAATTTACGTGATACATTTTTTAAATGCATAACTTGCAACCTGTGACTAAAGATCGATCAGTTTAACTTTTTGCCTATACTTGATGAAAATCGGTAATTTAGCAAGCACTTGCATAGTGAATAATAAAAGCAACTATCCACATTTGGTATTAATTAACACGTGGAACACACAAACGAAACACTCTTCATATACTAACCTTTCACACACTGTACAGTGTCACACCCAAAGTAGCCTACTGTCAAAAACTGTTTGTTACCAACACAAACTGCTAACACAGGGCCAGGTCACAAGACATTCACGGTCGTCATATCCTTGAAAGTTGCTATTCGTCATTTATTTAGTGAACTTTGACCTATTTACTTTTGGTTACCACGTTTCGCATTAAACTATAGGCTGTTTGGTTTGATTCCGATATTTGAGAAGGTGTGATTCTAATATTTGAGAGGATGCTTTTATAGATATGTACATTTGTTCTTACATATATATATATCTGGGGGTTTCTATAAACTCAATTATACAAAGAAACATTAGCAACCTTTTATATGTTATGACTCCGTGCTTGCTGTGTTCCGCTCCGGGCTATTGCTACCTGACAGTTTGACACCCAGAGATTCGGAAACATGAATCTGAATGGCAAAACAACAGGGCAAATCCAACATTGCAAATCCCATATAGCCAGCCAGTTCAACCTCCTAGGAAGTCCCCCGTGTGGATTCCGGAGCCCTATTGTGGGGAAAACAAGAATAGACCCACTGCCTCCCCAAAAGCATGTCGTGTAAGAGTCGACTAATTGGGGAGCTTCCTTTGAAGTCGGAGTGCATCTGCTGGAGAGGCAAGGAACCAACAGTCTGTATTCAAGAGAATGAGATCTGTAAGACTGATGCACACGCAACACTCAGGTTCTGGAGCAGGACTGCAGTTCAGTAGTGGACGAGCAACCAGAACCTTTCGCCAGAGTTAACAGCTGGTGAACGCGAAGAAGAAAAAGAATAAGAACCTCCTAGGAAGTTTTAACTGGGGAGCCCTGACGGCCACACCAGTTGCCTATAACCTGCAGTCCTGTGTCAGTAAAGATTATGTTATGAAATCGTACTTTGTAAATTACTAATCAATTCATCTACATGGGTTAAACAGTTTCGTGTAGAAGGCTCATCTGTAACTACACCATGGCCTCATACTATTGTTTTATGCGTTTAAACCATGATGTATGAGCTGTGACAGAAAGGAGTGAAAGAACACTTAGGATAAAGTGGTGGTAATACAGGAGCTGCCTGAGGCTGTAAGAAGAGAAGTAAAAATGTCAGTAATGTGGAGTTATGTAAGAAGAAGAGGCAGAAGAAGAAGAAGCAATAGAAGAAGAAGCAGAAGGAGAGGAAAAAGAAGAAGAAGAGGAGGACGGCTAAACAATTGTCTTTAAAAAAAAATCTTAATGACATTTTCAAAAGTGAATATCATTGCTGTCTTGACCTATGTTTCACTGTTTTTCACACCACTGTACCAGTTTGTAAACACCGCAGTCACATTATCCCCAAGGGCTTACTTCTCTAAAGCAAACATTCTAAGTAATCCCACACGCTTGTCGTCTTAGCTATTGAGCTGGGTCATTGTGCGGAGTTTTTATGACAGCCCCAAGAAATAAATGCCACGTTCCAACAGAGTTCACTGTGTGACTGATAGAACCAATTCTCCAATAGTCACTCAGTGAATAGATTTCATTCCAAAGAAATTAATTGTCTGTGCCGAGAGTTCTAGGAAGAAATTTCAATTATTTCTTCTTGAAAAGATGTGACATCGTTTAAAGTTTTCCTTATGGGGATATATGAGTTTTTCTTACCCTTTATACTGTCCATGTTAGGCTTTTAATGTTTTCTTTGCCACAGTTCTTTTGATTCCTTTCGCTTTCTCGTTGTCACAGTGCTATCTTGCCAAGCGGTTACTATTTCTTTTCATATTTTCTTAATTTTACTGAACATGTTTTTTTCCCCTTTCTTTTGCGACACAATTGCTGGCTAAGAATTGTTTCTTAAATACATTATTTAACATTAAAAAAAATTATAAACTTTTATCCTGCGAGTTCATTATTTTCTTCTGCCTTCGCCATTACAAGGTAGTTAGCACGTTGTGTTGTGGCTGAGCTGCGATATTTGCGCCTTCTATCCCAGCACATCTTAATTCAGCCAGTCCCTAATAGGTGACGCTTCTTCAAGGGCTGTAAACTGCTTCTCTCTCAAGTGGGTCCCCGAAAAACACACGTAAGATTCATTAAAAAATAATTTGTTAATGTCTTCACAAGAATATTGAAATATTTTAATCATGTGCTTTGGCAACAATCAGGGACGGTCATGATTTGCCATCTTGAGAGATCATCGGTTACATATCGGAAACCTGTTCTTGTTCTGATTATCTAGGTACTCATGCCACAAGTCATTGGTACAAATATCACCCACCCCCTTTCTTCCCCATCCCATGACTCCTTCGTCTACCAACCTAGACTGTTGTTACTAGGTTTTCAAAACAGACAGTAAAAAATTATTTGACTATGGGCGTCTAATTTCTTTAATCAGCAGAATACTCCGTAAGCGCCAATAACTAATCCAACAATGATAACCTGTGTTAATATGTAGCTATTATATCATCACTATCATCGTCGTCATCCTCAGTTTAATCATTATTAATCATTACTTTGACTTATACGATTAGTGAACTTATTTCTTGCTTGCTCAAATTTTACAAGGTGCGTGTCAGGGGCAGTAGCTCTGTTTTCACCTCAAAATGGGGCCGCAGAATCAACACGGAAAGAATTACAATTCAACATACACATACTTCTTCGATCTAACGCCCAACTCTTCCCTGTCATTCACTTTCTGGTACGACGATAATCTAGGCCGTTAATGTAGAGTGGGATTGTGGGGCCCGCAGATCGCAACCCGAGCTTTATGATCGATTGTCCGAGTTTTCCCAATTGTCCGAGTTTTTCCAAAAGACAACTAAGCGGTTAGTAAATGACGTGGGTTGTAATAGCCACAAACTGGTGCCAATCGACGTCCATCAGCCTCTCTTGTTGCCCTCTCGACCTGGCCCAGAACGAAAGTGAACAGCGTTCAATGGGACAATTGGTCTACAGTTCGCGACAGCTTAGTACCTTATCTGTTTTGTGACTCTACAAGACGACGGGAAAATTAGAGATCTTTCCACATAAAGACAAGTTAGGAGCTGGGAAAATGAAGAAGAGGGCACCAAAGGACAGTTCATGTAAATTTAAGCAAATTAGAAGGGGGGGGGGAGGGGTAAGAATGAGACGAGTATAATGAGTGGGCGATGTTTGTTTTTATAATAACATATCTATGCGATTGAATGATTGACTGCCATGCTTTGTGGCCGCTTAGAAGGAACTGGAGCTAAAAAGTGAAAATTGTTTTCGTGTACATAAGTATGTCAACAAATAGGAATAAAAGGCTATCCTCCAAATAACGGTCACAAATTATGGAGGCCGAAAATATACCGTAACAGGGCCTCAGTCACATGTCAATTGCGAACTTCCGGCGACTACCGCCACCTCCGAGATGTATCTCCCACGCCGCTACGTATCTCCCACGCGTGGAGCAGGGCTAAACTAGATGGCTGGGACTCACAAGCAAATAAAATGAAGGAAGCTGCAGGAGAAGCGGCAGCTGCTGCTCGTGAGTCCCAGCCATCTAGTTTAGCCACGCTCCACGCCGTGCGTAGCGGCTTGTGAGATACACTCGGCGGTGGCAGTAGTCGCTGGAAGTCCACAAGTTGAGTCTCCGGAAGTTCGCAATTGACACGTGACTGAGGCCCTGTTAGGGTATATTTTCTGGTTCGATAATTTGGGACCGTTATTTGGAGGATAGCCGAATAAACTGTGCGTACTTTCGCAAGTATATACATATGCAGATGTGTGCATACGTACGTGCGGACTTAAAAAAATATCCATATAGATTACATATAGATTTACTGAACTGAAATTGTCCTGCACTAGATGCCTCCCTGTCTATGACTAAAATAATTATATTTGTTACTGCTAACAACCGTTCTGGTGATTATTCCTTCATGATGGAAAGGAAAATGGAACTACACAGAATTAATTAGAAAGCTTGTAAATCTCCACCCATCTTTCCCTTTCCCCTATCTCTCCTCTTTCACCCTCTTGCTTGCTCTGCGTTTCTCTTTCTAGCCCAGTCTTTTTCTAGCCTCGTACACCGATATCTCTCTCTCTCTCTCTCTCTCTCTCTCTCTCTCTCTCTCTCTCTCTCTTCTCTCTCTCTCTCTCTCTCTCGCTCTCTCTTTCCATTTTTTAAATACTGTGTATCTCAGTTCTCCGGAACTCAATCCTCTACATCTCTCACTTTCTCTGTATCGCATCTGTCAGTTTCTATAATCATCTCAATTTCTGACTATCTCGTGTAAATTTGCATCCAACCTTTTCCCATCTATCTCTAATTTAACCCTCTTTATCATCTGCCATTATGCAGTAGGTGGCCATGCTGACACTTTACCGCGAACCCAGAAACGTGTGAATATTAGACATTCACAGTACACGAAACAAAAACCTGTGCAAACGTTACAGTAGAACAGAGCTTGTCATATGTTTGTTATTCACTCGTACATTTTCATCTATTATATTAAATTACTATATTGCAGGAATGGGGCGACGAGTTTCTGGTGTGGGATCCTTCACAATTTAATAACATTACAAAGTTACGGATTCCCTGTCACAAAATATGGCTGCCGGACATGGTATTGTACAATAAGTAAGTATATATTTCGGCTAATATTAAAGAAGTTAGGGGCGTGAAAGAAGGAGCGAACACAAGAGAACAATGTGTTTAGATTTTGGTAAAATAGTTATATTTTACAGTTGAATACACACTGATTCTCCGTCATAGTACTTAGTTGTATCTCATAATAGTTTACACAAATTATTAGCTCCATCTCGTATATTGTTTCTAGAGCAGATTTTTGTGAACTCTTAAATCCACTGCCGATTTGCTGGACCTGACACAGATTCATCCTTAAAAGAACAAGGAGTCACGGACAACTTGAGACTTCATAACATCACGGCATATGAAGCGACTGAGTGCACCCTGGCTCGGTTGCCGATCATCTGATAGACTGCGACGCCTAGCGGGACAAGCAGATTTTGACAAAAGAAAGAAGAAGATTAGCTCATTGGGATGACATGGCGGTGAGCTGCATGTGATAGCAAAGGATAGGAATTGACCTTAAATTGTTGAGAGCCTGTGCTCGACAGGGGATTGAAGGACACTTTTCTATGCATTTAGGCAAACTGGGTATTGAGTTAAGTCAAGAATTGACACCACAGCACTCAGAGCATCCCTATGCGTGCTCCGTCCTCATCTTCAGCAGCCAGCGCGGAGTTCCAGTACTGATAGTACCGGTCACAATCTGGTTATATGTCCGTCTTGCCTTTCTTTTGAGTGTTGTGGCCGGCCAGACCCTCTGGTTACACCCAGGCGCCTCATTCTCTCCAGGCCATAATAATCTTGTTTTTCTACTGATTCTGTTGCTTGTTGCCAAAGGGCCTTGACCACATCTGCTTTGTCTGTGTATTTAGGGCTAGGCCTATATTTAAAGGCTAATCTGATCTGCACTGTGTGGATGTTGTGCTCGTCACCACGCATGCCACCTTTACTTCCCGGGACTGCACCTGGTACACACTCAAGACTATGTCGACCTGAGAGCCAAGGTCCAGCTTGGTGTGGTCCCGAACCCACGACCTTCTGACCTTTGCTTCACCAGGGAATCTATCGGTGATTAAAGGGCATAATAATAATAATAATAATAATAATTATACAAAGAATAATGAGATCATTCATATATAATCCATCAGTCATCAGTGTCATTTGTAAAATTTAATAAGATTATCACCATTCTCATTGTTTTGCTGCTGTAGTCAAGACTTTTACCTCCCTTAAAATGCAGTCTGTCCCAAATTTTCGGGGATAATTTCAAAATTCCACCCCGACTGTCGTCTGGGGGCATGGTATAATATAACCTCTGTACGGGTTTCCTATGACTTGCACTTAGGGAATTCTCATCATAAGGGCAACACTTTGTGTCGCCGGGTGTTTCTAGCTGTTTTACGATTCTGGTGGGGTTTAATGTCACTGAAATCAGTATCTCCACCAAAAGTTCATTGGTTGTTCAGTGAGTCAGCTGTGGTTTATAAAACAGAAATAATATGTTGGACATATATTCTAACGAATATCTAATGCCAATGAACCGCTTAGCTTAGTATCTTTTAAAATTAATAAACGTAAATATCAAGTTAATGAACGTTATGTCTGGTTTTTGTCTATACTGTCTGATGTATTCGCGTGTATTACATTTAGTTTATGATTTTCAGTAGCTTCCGATGATCATCATCACGTAGCAAACCCTTTTGTAGAACGTCGCTCACAACCTGCCTAAAACTTGAGCCCTTGGCACATCTCCCACCTCATGCACTTTTTCTACCAAAGGTGTTACTTACATCTCTCGTCCATATTCCCCTGGCCCTCTTTTTCGGCACCATGCCTACTATTTCTCTATTATAAAATGTCGCTTAATATGGCTAAAATATGTTTCAGTTTATGAGGCCAGATGCTGTTTACTAGCCAACCTACCTCAATGTCCTCAAAAATTTAACCTTAATTTCCTTGCTACCATAGATTTTTAAAATTAAATAATTTTTATCCATCGTTACCGTAGCATGCACCTGACGAAATACAATATATATGCATACATATATTTATTTATTTACATACAGACATACTCAGACATCTAATAATGTTTATTACCGGTATTTTCTTGTTCAGTTCAATAGTGGTCTTTACAGAGATCCCTGGGGATTGTTGCTGGAGCTACGGCGTTCATGCTTCAAGCAACGCTGTCGGCAGATATAATGTAATGATGTTCGTTACTCCTATCACCTGGTTTTTGTTTAACATCGTCATTGTAGACGCAATTTTGTTTTATTTGGACCCCCTTTTGCTGAGCGTTTTGTAGAACAACTGATGATTCATATTTCCACCAATACTTTACCGTTTCTGTCTAGTGCTGCGGAATACACAGATGGGCTGATGCCAGCCAACGCCATGGTGGAGCCCAATGGAAATGTCTTTTGGCCGGTGCCAACAAAATTACAGAGCTCCTGTAAAGTAGATGTCACGTACTTTCCCTTCGACAGCCAGGAGTGTTATCTCAAGTTCGGATCCTGGACGTACGACGGTTATCAGGTGGACATCACAAATAGAACGTCCGAGGTTTGTTGCGTGGTGTGTTTTGTTTTGTTTTTCTGGACAATTTCATTCTCCAGAACAATGTTTCGCTGTCATAAATTTAAACAATACGGACACAGACAGTGGGTTTCGAAATGTAACATTAATTTCGTTAATGAAATAACTAATTAATATAATTAATTATAACACACCATTACAGATTTAATATTTAATTATAATATATTATTACTAATTAATTATTAATTAGTGTATTTATTCAGTATATGTTGATTTAACTATGTAGTAATGCATCTGCAGATACATGGTGAAAAAGAAAAAGCGTATGTCCGGCAATACATCGTGCATTGTATTGTTTGTAGACACACTATTTCTTTATTTAATTTCTTGTTTAAATTAAACTGTCAGAAAGGTTCATCATCATCATCATCATCAGTGACCAGGTCAGCTATTGGCTCTCTGGTAGACGACTTCGTCGACTGTCGGGACAGTGTTTAGGTATGTCTCCTTCGATCGCATCAACACGGCAGGAGTCCTTGTCAGGTCTCTTCGTATCATGCAATGCTAAGCCATTTGATGTGGCGCACATGACCTAGTCAGAATTACAACCTAAAGCTCCACCTTAGGGGATACTGGTTGAAGGGAACAATTTGTTTTCTTCTCCAGCAAAGCACCTGCCTGCCTACCTAGGCTTCTTTATCGGCATGTATCATACCAACATGCTTGTGCAGTCATAATTCGCAGTCTCGCACGATCATCAGTATAAACGAACAGCCAGACTCACTGGCTGGTGCTGCACCTGTAGGTGGCGACATGACGCATGACACACTAAATGAGGCCAGTGCTACGTGAGCGCAAGCTTCCGGTCTAAAACTTACGATTAGGCTTGGCAGAATGTTAAGCTTGGAAGTTATACTTGCTTCCGACAGCGCTTTGCCAAAGCAGTTTCCTCATTTGGACGGTAGTCTACAGTTTTGCTGCCTGAGCTACTGAATGGTGCACTAAACTTTGTTTAGTGAGCTGTGTTTTTTTTTCATGTGGGAGGCCTTTAATTTGTGCCGCGGTTCTGTCGTGGTATACGGTAGCCAGCTTACGTGTGAGCTGGTGAAATACCTAATGTAATAATTCTAGGTTTATACAGCTAACTTATTGTGGCCTACTAGTTCCATCAACGACAAACTGATTTATGGGGCGTCTGTTGGCTTTGGCGCCTCTAGCAACTGCCATATGCATTTATTGTATGCGCATATTTCTGGAGTGTTTCGGGGATTAATTGTTTGTTCACCAGTTTTTCAAGTGAGACATTTAATTTGATTTTCATTGGCACAGGAACGGATCAAGTATGTGGGAACCGCATTGCAGGGAAGTTGAAACCTCGACTTTGACTAAGACTAAGTGAACAAGGCAAAAGCATGATTAGATCATTACGGTGTCGAGAGCACGGCGCGGCGGTGAGTGATCAGGAAATATGACCGACGCTCAACACTCAGGGAAAAGGCCAGACGGACATATAATCAGACAGCTTTTTTGGTCGAACGACTATTTCACAGGGGTCGCTAAAGACCATCGTAAAACACATATTCATTAAAGTAGCGTCAAAAACAATGGTATGGTTGGAGGGTAGCCACAACATGAGTAGCTGTATTAAAGCGCGCCGCATCACCAGGAACTGTATTAAAGGGTCGCGGCATTAGAAAGGTTGAGAACATTTGAGCTAAGACGTCCTTTAGAACAAAAATTAAAGAAAGTCCAGGTCTCATTTCTGGGCAAACGCGGAGTTATAAAACAATGCAAGATATTAAAATGCACTGTACACATTGACTGGAAAATTTACTGGAAGTATTAGAGGAAATGAAGTGTGAATCCTCGTCTGAGTAAAATGAGGTGACAGGTTTGGATTGGGGATATAAAGCAACTCCCTTTATAACACCCACATCCTTGGTGATTTTTAAAACTGGCATAGAAATCTCATTTAATACAACCAAAATGTGCATCAGGCAGGCTTGCTGACGACAAAAAAAAAAAAAAAACGGGCGGGAGGTATAGTATGGTGGGTGGGTGGGGGTTGGGGTTACAAATGTTATAGGCAGAATTGGGGACACGAAAAGCAGGAGACAAGACAGACAAAGAATAACATGGAAACATAAATGGACTGACTGGAAAGGCCTTAGGCATGCAACAATGAAGACCAATTCATCTGACTGTGAACGGTAGAGGGAGCTGATCAAACAGTCAACGGTAGAGGGAGCTGATCAGACAGTCAACAGTAGAGGGAGCTGATCAAACAGTCAACGGTAGAGAGAGCTGATCAGACAGTAATCGGTAGTGGGAGCTGATCAGACAGTCAACGGTAGAGGGAGCTGATCAGTCAGTCAATTGTATAGGGAGCTGATCAGACAGTCAACGGTAGAGAGAGCTGATCAGACAGTTAACAGGGAGCTGATCAAACAGTCAACGGTAGAGGGAGCTGATCAGACAGTCAACAGTAGAGGGAGCTGATCAAACAGTCAACGGTAGAGAGAGCTGATCAGACAGTAATCGGTAGTGGGAGCTGATTAGACAGTCAATGGTAGAGGGAGCTGATCAGTCAGTCAGCGGTAGTGGGAGCTAATCAGTCAGTCAACAGGAGTGGGAGCTGATCAGACAGTCAACGAAAGAGGGAGCTGATCAGGCAGTCAACGGTATAGGGAGCTGATTAGACAGTCAACGGTAGAGGGAGCTGATCAAACAGTCAACGGTAGAGGGAGCTGATCAGGCAGTCAATGGTAGAGGGAGCTGATCAGACAGTCAACGGTAGAGGGAGCTGATCAGACTGTCAACAGTAGAGGGAGCTGATCAAACAGTCAACTGTAGTGGGAGCTGATCAGACAGTAATCGGTAGTGGGAGCTGATCAGACAGTCAACGGTAGAGGGAGCTGATCAGTCAGTCAACGGTTAGGGAGCTGGTCTGTCAATCAACGGAAAAGAGGCTGATTAGACATTCAATAGTAGAGGGAGCTGATCAGTCAGTCAACGGAAGAGGTAGCTGATCAGTCAGTCAACAGTAGAGGGAGCTGATCAAACAGTCAACGGCTACTGATTACCCAGTCATACGCAGTGTCACATGATGATGACGACGATGCGGAACATAACATTTATGTTCATATAAACGCTAGTGCTTGTATAATCCTGTAACATTTATTCGCGTGCAGGTGGACTTGAGTAACTACATTATAAACGGAGAGTGGGAACTGGTGCATGCCAAGTGCATCAGGAATGTAGTGAGGTATGCCTGCTGTGACGAACCGTTCCCTGACGTCACTTTTTATGTAAAGGTGAGTTTTAGTCTCTTACTTGCTTGATATTTCAATCATTCTTTTGCAATGAGAGATGCAGATCATCTGCGAAAAATAACATACTTTGCATCGTATGTTGTTTTATTAGTATTAGCAATAAAAAATTAGTGTAGTTAGTCTTTTGCTGTTATGATGTATGGTTTATATAAAATAGCATCACAAGGCATTTTCTCAAAGTGGACAAACCATTTGATTTAAAAAAAAAATGTGTTTTAGAATTGGTTCTATGTCGACCTTTCCTCTTATGACCCCTTCTGGTCACTCCTGCAACCCCTCTTGAACCTAATGCCGCGCATAGGGCAGAGGTCATAGCTACCCATGTCTGGCGGTTCGTTACCACCTGTTTTAGATCTGAGATGTTCATTAGTTCCATGGTTAAGCCTTCCCCGATTATGGTTTTACTCAGGGTCTCCCTTGGTCTTCCCTGTTTTCTTTTTCCTTTAATTAATGCAGTGGTGACAATTACATAACTGCTTATCTATTTCACTACCAAAGAACTCGTCATACGTTCATTGGTTACTCGATACATAGTGCACATTTCTGTACGTTTCCTGTGTCCGTCTTTCGTTACGATAACCCCTTTTCCACTCTTGTTCTTACTGTAACACTTCTCACGAAGTTGTTATTCTTTAGCTTAGTTAGACTAACAATTGAGGAGCGGCTGACAGAGTGGTTGCAGCTTTGTGCTCTCATGCGGGAGACTCGGGTTCCATCTCCCGGTAAAGTGATGGCGTTTTTTTAAAAAGGTGGGGTGGGGGGGGGGGAATTACACATCCTAACCTGCACAGTCTGTGACGACAGCACTAGCCATGCGGCCCTAACTCCTCAGGCTCACGACCCCTTGTCTATAGGGCTCTAAAAAGGTGGTAAAACAGAGAATAGTGACAGTGACAGACTAACAATTGTGGCCCTAGAATATAAAAGTAACCTTAGCATAGAAACTGCTGAATTAAATACCATCTAAGACCACAAGAGATAAAATGACGGTAATAAAATTAATATGGCTTTTGGACAGTTTTACGAGAGTTGCACGGAAACAATCAGAGCTTCACTTCATAAATTTCCCACACGCAGCATAGAGCGTACACTTCTATTTTACAACAGACAAATCACATATACACACATACACATTACTCACCACACACATACACCACACACACACATCACACACCACACATCACACACACACACACACACACACACCCCCACTCCAATCGGCAGGGTTCTTGATGATGATGACGACAGTCAGTATCACGCCAGGCGAATGTTCTCCACAGAACATTGCCCGCTACACTCGTTGAAATTCGGCCAATTGTATGTATGCAGGTTTTTCTCTGCTGATGTTTGTTTGTTTGTTTTAGTATCCAGAAGCCATGAGTTGTTAACCCTTAGGCTCAGTATTATGGTAAACCAAAGTAAGCTTGTCGCTCGGTCGTCCAGGCACGCTGACTGTTCTAATTAGGCTGCCGTGGCGGCTTCTTATCTCACAGTACCTCCTTCGAAACCATGAAGTCGTCTTGTCTCTGGCCGAAATAACATCACCATCCGGTAATTCCGTGCAGCGGGGAACCAGCCCTGAGCTTCATGAACTCAGGTGGGCCCACCTCCGAATACGTTTAGGAATCGTGGGCCGAAACGTGTGTCGACAGAGATCTACTGATGNATAACTGCTTATCTTTTTCCCCCAAAGAACTCGTCATAGGGTTCTTGGTTACCGAAATAGTGCACTTTTCCCTGTACTTTTCCCTTTTCCCGTTTTCGTTACGATAACCCTTTTCCCCCTTTTGTTCTTACGAAACATTTCTCACAAATTGTTATTTTTTTTGGGCTTAGTTAGATTTAAAAATTGAGGGGGCGGCTGACAGATTTGGTTTGCAGTTTTTGGGGCTCTCTTTGCGGGAGCCCGGGGTTTCCTTTCCCCCGGGAAAAGTGTTGGCTTTTTTTTTTAAAAAGGTTTTTGGGGGGGGGGGGGGGAATTACCACCCAAACCCTGCACAGCCCTGTGACGACAGCACTAGCCAGGGGCCCCAAACCTCCTCAGGCTCACGCCCCCCTTGTTATAGGCTCAAAAAAGGGGGAAAAACAAAAATGGGGCATGACAGACTAACAATTGGGCCCCTTTAGAAAAATAAAAGTAACCTTACAAAAAACCTGTGATTAAATACCCTAAAAAACCACAAAGAAAAAATTACGGAAAATAAAAAAAATTATGGTTTTTGGACGTTTTACGAGAGTTGCAACGGAAACAACGAGCTTCCCCTTCATTTTTTTCCCCCACACCGCATAGAGCTTTCCCCTTTTCGTTTTTTTAAAAAAAGGACAAATCCCATATAAAAAATTACACATTACTCACCACACACATACCCCAAAACCACAACATCAAAACCCCCAAACACATCACACACACACAAAACACAAAACACCCCCCACCCCAATCGGCAGGGTTCTTGAGGTTTGTTTAAACGAAAGTCATTATCACCCCAGGCAAAGGTTCTCCACAGAACATTGCCCGTTTACATGGGTTAAAAAATTGGGCCCCCAATTGTATGTTTTCGGGTTTTTTCTCTGCGATGTTTGTTTGTTTTTTTTAAGATCCGGGAACGGGAGTTTTTTAACCCCCCTTTACCCCTCGGGTTTTAAAATGGAAAAACCAAAAGAAAAGTTGTCGTTTCCGGTCGCCCCAGGAAACCCCGGACTGTTCAAAATTTAGGCGGGCCGTGGGGGTTTCCCTATCCCCCACAGTACCTCCTTAAAAAAACCATGAATTCGTCTTGTCTTTGGCCAAAAATAACATCCCCACCCGGAAATTTTCCCTTTCCCGCGGGGAACCAGCCCGAGGCTTCATGAACCGGGTGGGCCCACCTCCAAATTACTTTTGGAATCGGGGGCCCAAAAACCCCGGGTCGAAGAGATTACTGGGGAATGGGTAGCCCCCGCTTTTTGCTCCCTGTGAGTTTATTCCTATTGTACGTGGCAGCCCAAAAGGGACAAACCAGGAAAGACTGGTGACTATGGGAAAAGGGCCCTTTTTTGGCCCACCTAGGGGAAAGATTTGGGCCCCCCCTGAAATCCCCCGGGGGGATAAACTGACTCTGGAAAAAGAGGTCGACTGGGGCCCCCGGGTTGTTTCACCCCTAAAAACAGTATAATCCTCCGATTTGAAAGGGACCCACATGAAATATGCCCCCGGGGCCCCCTCCGAAAGGGGGGGGGGGGGGGAATAAAGGCCCCCCAACCCTGATTAAATTACCCTCGGTGACAAACTTTGCACCCCCGGACTAGATACTCGCCCAAAACTTTCCGGGCGGGTCTGTACATGGGGGGAAAAGCTTAAGGGGTTTTGCAGGGTTTTAGAACGCATGCCGGGAAGAATAAAATGCGGGGCCCGCTCCACGCGGGAAAAACCCCGTCGAAAAAACCGCCCCACTCTGGGTATTTTCGGGAGTCGCCCGGGGGTACGACGGGCAGGGGGGAAACCCCCACTCCCCCGGAGGGGCCCCTGACGTCGACGCGGAGGAGCCCCTTTGATGTTTTCTAAAGAAGTGCTTTTCCAGAATCGGGTTTTTCCCACCTGCGAGCGGAAGGGTGTGGGGGGTAATTTTGGGGGTTACTTTATTTGAGAAAATTAACAAACTCAAAAACAAGAACCGTTTGGGGCGACAAGTTTACAAAATTTGGGGTGATGTAATATATGAAAAACTGGCTCCCCCCGATTTTCGGGACAGTATTAAAGGCAACACCGGGTGCCCAAGCAGAAATATAGCAGGAGGCAGAGGGGACATTCTGAAGTGTCGGGCAGACAAGCCGCTACGGGCAGCGAACGGGAGGGGCTGTACGAAGTGTGGGTGCACTTAAAGAACAAACACAGTGCCCTCTGTCGCGCCGAGCGTTTCTGTAACAACAGACGTAGAACCAAAAGGGAGCGAGAGAAATTCTTTAGGACCCGTATCAGTTGCCCGAGGTCTATTCGAGCAACCCGAAGTCTGGGACTCTGGTTGTCAGTCAGGAAGAACTAGAGCTACATCTACGCAAGATGTACTCGGATAAAAAGAGGAGAGAGCCTCTCGATGACAATCCAGAGATCCTTAGCGGACTCAAACAGCCTTCGGTGCCGAAGGTACCATTTAAAATGGTACCTCCCCTTTGGTCTGAGGTTGAGGACGTTGTGAAAAAGGCCAGCGGCAAGTCTGCCCCAGGTCCGAACGGTGTCCCGTACGTTCTTTACAAGCGTTGCCCGAAAATCCTTAAAATGCTTCACGTCTTGTTGAGACAAGCGTGGATCCGCAATCACATATATGTCCAGAGTGGTCAAAGGCAAATGGGGTCTACATTCCCAAAGAGCAGGACTCGAAGAGTCTTTCCCAATTCAGGCCCATCTCGCTGTTGAATGTCGAGGGTAAGATATTCTTCTCAGTCATGGCTCGCCGGCTCACACAGTATCTGATGACTAACAAGTACATAGATACGAGTGTTCAGAAGGGTGGTATTCCAGGCGTTCCTGGGTGCCTTGAACACGCGACCATGATTTGGGAGGCTATCCAGAGAGCCAAGCATGAGAGAACTGATTTGCACGTTATATGGTTGGACTTGGCCAACGCCTACGGGGCAGTCCCCCATAGGCTACTGTGGCGAGCCATTCACATGTTTCACGTACCGACACAGATCAGTCAAATGATCGAGCAATATTTCTCCAAGTTCGCTTTGCGCTTCTCTACCTCGACGTTTACCACGAGGTGGACTGAGTTGCAGATTGGGATAGCTATGGGCTGTACGATCTCACCTATACTGTTTGTCATGGCAATGCAGATCATGTTAGACGGGGCGGCCGGCTACGGACAGGGCCTTCAAATAGGGGATCACTGGTTGCCGCCACTACGCGCATTTATGGATGACACGACTATTATAACGGGCAGCGAGGAGTCTGCCCGCACGATCCTGAAAAGATTGGACGCGGTGGTCCAATGGAGCGGTATGCAGTT